AGCGACTGTAGCTGGAGTCGTGCGAGTGTCGGGATTCCAGCCCTGGCTGCTGGTGCCCTTGCTTTCCCTTTGCTCTGTGCTCCGCGTGCCACCGCTGCGCCCGCAGGTCAGCCATCAAAGACTTTCTGGTGACCTACATAATCCTCCCCATGAAATGGGATGACTTCAGAATGGCTCCCCATGGTAAACTTTTTCCTTGATTTGGCTAGGTCATCTTAAATAGCTCCAGCTAGTAGCTGGTAGTTTTGAAAGCTTTTTTCTTTTTTTTTTTCCTGTCTCTAATGTAGAGGTATTGCAATACAAAGGGAAGGTCGTTAGAAGGGCTCTCATGTATATGGAGAGAGGTATAGATCAAGTGAGTGACTAGCTGAGAGTTGCACAGAAAATCCAGTGAAAGGACTGGAAAGTACGTGCGAGTCCTGACTCCCGGGCTCCAGTACCCTGTCTCTGGTCACTCTGCCTTCCAGCGTGCTGGAACCTGTGCTCGAGCTACCTGAGATGTAAACCTGGCATTTGCTCTTCGCGAGGGGAGGAAGAGTCAGGGACTTCGGGGTGTTTGACACCTCCCTGGTGCAGCGACTCTGTGCTCCTTAAATGTGTAAAATCAAATTTAAATTATTAAGGGAAAAAAAGAAAAAAAGCCTGTTGCTTTTTTCTTACCTAAGGCATCTCATGCTTAAATTTGGTGCTGATGTTTGACAGCTCATTTCTCCTCTGTGCCCAGATGTGCTGTAGGTCTCACGTGTCGCTTCAAGAGCCCTGGAGCTCGGCTTATTTCCCTTGTAAAGCTGCTGAGCTTGTGCAGCAAACTGGCCCTTGGAGCCGTGAGACCCGCTGCCAGGCACACGGTGCTCAGCAGTGGGACTTGCTGGCTGTGGCCGGCGCCGAAGTGCAGGCTGCCGTACAGCTCTCCAGGCTGTTTGTGAGAGAAGCCGTGTTGCCCTGTGTGCTCACGATCTGCTCCGGGGCCAGCGTGTGCTGCACAGACCGGGAATCACATGCAGGAGCCGTCAGCCCATGCAGGAGCCCTGCATTGCTCTCCTTCGCCTGAATACAGGAATCTCGGGCAACCGCAGCCAGCAGCATTTGGTCCAGCAGCGTCTGCCAAGGTGAGGGTGCAATCTGCCAAGCCAAACAGGATCTGGTTGTTTATCGGCTGGTGAGCAGGGGAAGGGCATTTCGAGCGGAGGCGCGCAGCCGGTGGTATTTGAGATGCTGCTGGCTGGAGCTGGTCAGGCTCCTGCGAAGAGGCTCCCGGGGTGATGTCAGGAGCTGGCTCCCCAGCACGTTTCTGGGATCTCGTGGAGCTGAGAAGCGCTGGCGTTGACTGGGAGAGCAGCCAGGGGCTGTGCGAACAGACGCGGTAGCTGCAGCAGAGATTTTTAGTGGTGACAGTTGATGTATGGGAGAAGAAAATGTATGTGTGCTTAATAAATATTGGCACTCGGCAAGAGCTTATCAGCTAATTCAGTGCTTCAGCTTCTGGAGAGCTGGGTTGTCCCTGCCACATTGAAAAGAATCCCTTCAGATCAGGGGATAAATGGAAAATTAATATGAAAAATACTTTTTCTGAATGGTGCTAATTTAATGCTGGCTTAGCTGTTGGACGTTCCCGCCTTCCCCAGCCCACGCAAGGGCAGCAGCAATACCTGCTCCCCTCCCGACCCCCGGACCGTCTGTGCAGCCGTCGGCCCACGCAGAGGAGGGCTCAGCACAGAGCAAACCCCCGAGGCTTGGTCTTTTTGTTCCTTGCTAGTTTGTGCAGATGAACTCCTGGCTGTTGGGCAGGAGAGGCACAGCCACGAGCCGCGGGGCAGAGGCTGTTGGGGCTGTGTGAGCAGACTGGATGCCCTTTGGAGGGGCAGTCCATCCCCTGGCCCTGCCTGGGACTGGCCCTTTGAACCCCCCCGTGATGGAAACGGCCTCTCCAGGCTGCCCCGCTCCCGCACTCCATCATCCCTGCTGTTAGAATGACTCAACTAGATATTCCTTGCCACGGTTTAACTGCCCTACTGCTTCTCCTGTCCTCCACAGACAGTTCTTCTGGTTTCTGGCAGTGACAATTCACATGCATTAAGACTTTTAATACATTTCTGTTCTTTAACCGTCCCTTGGCGATCCCTTTCCAGATCACTCTTGTCCCTCTCCCTCCAACAGTCCAGGGACTCGCATCTGTTTTGCTTTAATGCTGCAACCAAAGCTACACCAAATTCCCTCACCTGTGGCAACGGCGAAAGGATTAATTTGAGCCTTGCTGATGATATTTATATATCCCAGTATATTTGGCTATTTGTTTGCAGCATCGTAGTGGATTCTCTGGTTGCTGATGCGTAGCTCTTCTGCAAGGCAAATGCAACAGACCAAATGTCCATGCTGGCAGGAGGTCGTATTCTGCACCTCCTGTCTCTGTTGCTGCGGCTTCTCCTCCCCCCCAGCCTGCGCGTACCTGCAGCGCGGTCCACCTGCACGTGGGGCAGTGCCGCAGCACAGGTGCTCTGCAGGATCAAAGCGGTATTTCTCTCTAAATTCCTCCTGCTTTCCAGGGAGCAGCTTTTGATCATTCACCTGTTGCTCTGTTCTTTGTCTCCTAGGTAAAAGCTCGTTAAATGTTGCCTCTGTTGGCAGAGAAATCCTGTGCCTCTGCCCACGTTCCTGAGAGCCCCTGGGGAGCTGCAGGACAGCACACGAGCTCTTGTTTCATACGTACATCTCCATCTGCTGTCCTTAGGAGGAAAAGCTCGCTGTGTTTTCCAAGGAAGCATTCCCTGGTCACCAGCCACAGCCATCTGATGCCACCTTCCTCCTCCGCCTGTGCAGGTTTTGCGCTGTTAGAGCTCTGATGAGATCGTAGCTGCAGGGCTGGGCACAGCTGAGCAGCCTGGGGTGATGGTGACGGTGACAGTGACAGTGACCCTCTTCAGACGTGCTGGAGGCTCAGTGTGGGGCAGGTTGCTCACATCCCTGCTCTGGACTGCTCAGCGCTGTGTTGCAATGGTGTGTTGTAACTCTGTGCTGGGGAGAAGGATTGCAGCAGAGTTTACTGTCGGTGTTCTTGCAGGGTGCAGTGGGAGGAAGGTGGCTTGCTCGTTAAACATGGTTGAGGCAAATTACTTTCTCCAAGATATAACCCAGAGCCTGAAGCAGCGCTGTGAGTTTTGGGGATCTGGACAAGAACAAGTGTACAGCTCCATTGGTGTTCATTTTTTTGGGCTGAGACATGAAGATAGGTGTTGTGTTTGGTGCTAGGAGAAGACATGGGTGCACAGGACTTGCAGAGTGATTCTCTTATCCTGCACATCTGCTGGGCACAGTACGTAGCAGGGTTGAGGCTCCTCCATCAAGTTCCAGCAGAGCCTGAAATGCAGAAACTGCCTTTGCTGTGAGTCAGGCTGACAGATCTCCTGATCGCCTATTAGACCAATAGTTTGTCCTTTAACGAAGGCTCTGTCACCTCCTTGGCAGTCTCGTTTGCAGTCTTCTGTGTGTACGAAGCTGTCAGAATCAGGACAGCTCTTTTCCTTCCCTGCAGGTCTCGCTCTGCTCCTGGGGAAGCGCTGGTTTCCGTTTGCCCTCTGCCTCCTCCCTTCCCCGTTTGTCTGGAGATACCATTAAAACCACGTTTAAAGAAATCAGAGCTATTTGGTGTTTGATGGTGCTCGCTGAAGGCCCTTAAATGCTTCCTGTGTTAGTGCCCCTGACAGTACGAGTCGGGACCTGCCTGCTTTTCTTTCCATTGCTGGCTGCCTGGTTGCAGCTCCGCGGAGCGTGGTGCAGGACGGCTCCCGAGGAACGCCCGGAGCCCTTCCCTCCATGCACTGCCCCCGGACCTGGCACCGTGACCGTGTGCGGTGTGTGCTGGGTCGGACCAGCCTGTTCACGAACGAGTGAGGCCGTGTAAATACACAGGGACAGAAGCAGGCGTTTCCTCTCCTCCTGTGCTCTTGGCAGAACAGAACCTGCCGTGCCTCCCGCGCTCTGCTGCCCACCCGGGGAGGGCCGCAGCAGGTCCAGCCCGCTCCGCTCTGCGTTGGTTGTGCTGGGCTGGCTGCAGGATCGCTTTGTGCGAGACCCGCCTGCTGTTTCAACACGTCGAGTCTTCCTCCTGATCCGGCTCCTGAATAGTGTATAGCCTGGGTGACCCCTCTGGGTTCCCCCCAGCAGCAGCCCCGGTGGGGAGCCTGTCTCGTTGGAGTACGGAGCTGGCGTGGTGGCTGGCTGGGGATGGCACTCCGCAGTGAGCTGAAGTTTCCTACTGATAGATGAAATGTTTGCCTCGAGTTGGCGTGTCATGCTCTGCTATTGGAGCCTGCCCGCTCTGTTGAACGCGGCTCTCTTGCCGCTTATCTCTGGAAAAGCTCTATTTACCCATCACTGCTCAAAAAAAAATAAATAATCCCAACCCAAAACCCTAAA